CCTGAACATCAGCAGGAGAGGACTCTTTAAAGTAGAGACACTACATACTGATATACACCTGAACATCATCAGGAGAGGACTCTTTAAAGTAGAGACACTACATACTGATATACACCTGAACATCAGCAGGAGAGGACTCTTTAAAGTAGAGACACTACATACTGATATACACCTGGACATCAGCAGAATATGTCCTCTTTAATAAGATTTAATCCGCTGACACCATTGATTACACACATCTGAATTGCGTATCAGCCAGTTTTTCAGTTATTAGACATCTTTCGTTTTTTATTGCACCAGATCTGAGTAACACTTTGAACAACTTCAATCAAATGACGGCTGATTACTCTCATCCTCCCGGGCTGAGCGTGTGTTAATGGAGGAAATCAACTGCTTAATATCTGAATAAACACATGTTAATTTGACTGCAGAAGATGCCATGCTTGAGAGCTGATGAGAGGGCTGGGAAATAATGCTTCTTGATTGTTCATCTTTTTTAAATGGAATAATATCGTGATGGAGTCCTATATTCGGATGTCAAAATCAGGTCGTAAGAAGTTACTCAAACTTCTTAGAAAAGTCTGATGTGAAATATATAGAAGTAAAACCTTTTGAAATGTGTGGTTTCCTTTACATTTTCCGTCAGAGCCATTTCTCAAGTGATTGCTCATGTCCCTGACTTGATGCAAACCCCCTTTGCTGTCATGCACGTTCAGCAGAAATCAGCTGCAGGAAGTCTGTCCCCCCTCGTTTGTTATTACAGTGAAACAGACCTCTGCTAATTGAGGGTTTCTGTCATTGACTCCTCCCAACAAAACCCTTTTTCCAATCCCCCCCCCAGCTCTCCTCATGAGCAGCTGATCGCTCACGATTCCTCCAGTTCCCACTCCCTGTGTTCAGAGGTTGCATTTGTTTCGTGTAAACTTTCACCATCTGCGGGCAAACCTTTTGAACTGTGCATTTCAGCACAAAACACCATCGGGGGGGTTTTCTAGAAAGATATAGTATGAGGTGATTATGTGGCTCTGATCTCAATCTCAATCTGAATCTTTATTTACTCAATAAATAATTGTTATATTTTGTGGCGGAAGTTACTACGCCACTTACAGGCCCGGCATATGTACTACAGCGTCTCCAGCACTTTCGAGCGGTCTCGTGCGGAAGTACAGCGCCACTTACAAGCCCGGCATATGTACTACAGCGTCTCCAGTGGTCTCGTGTGAACGGACACGTTAAATGAGCCGAATGCGTGTGAACGGAAGACTTTTTTGAAAACGAATTTGGTGCGTAAACGCAAACGTTCCCGTGTAAATGGGGTTTTAAAGAGGTGAGTTTTTAGCTGAGATTTAAAAAGGTTCTTGTATATAAGATGAGATAAGATAAAATGGACCTTTATTAATCCCTGTGGGGGAAATTCAGTAGTTCAAACAGCAACAGGATGAGATTGAAAAGCAGGACAGCACAGATTCACACAAGATTAATACAATTAAAGATACAATTAAAATGATATACAGGTAAGTAACTGTTTAAATAAGAAATGAATTAAATGAACATATATACATATTTGAGTCAAATAAACATATTAAATATATATCAATGCTGGCGAGAACATGACGCCCGTAGATGGCTCCGCGGACGTGAACAACTATTGTCTTTTTGACACCATTCTTTATATAGACTGTAATTATAAATGTTTTGAAGTACAGAAATATTGTTTTCTGGCATAATTTTAACATTTTACGTGGACAATCTGCATTTCTGCATTTAATCTTATTTTAATAATCCTTTTTCTTTCATTTTAATCTATATTTTATTGCACAATCTTATGTTTAGGTTAATAATATTTATTTGTATTTGATTTCAACTTTTTATTTTTATATACAAATATTTATTTAATTTTATATTTTGTTTTGCACACTCTTTTTTAACTTGAATATGATTATATAAATATTATAATTCATATAAATATTTGTATTATCTTAGTTTTTTATAGTTATAGTTATATTTCTCACCCAGCCTTATTTCCCCCGGGATAAACATTTCTGAATCTGATATTCAGTCACATTATTATATATATATTATAAGTTCCCACATGCTCACAATGGGAACTTCCTCTTGCTTCTAGGAGCCCAGGGAACATGTTCCAGAGGGATGAAGAATAACTTCCGCTTTCCCCGTCAGAAATAGACACCAGAAATGATGCAAAATCACAAACTGAGAGCATGATCTCACCAGCTGTTCTTGGCTGAAGAAATCCGTCTATTATCCGTCTGTGGCTGCGTGCAATCTTCCTCTTTTAGTTAGCCCGGGGATATTATCTGAACATGTCCTTACATGCACAAAGAACACGCCACAATGATGTATAGTGTGCAGACTTTAGTTGTTATTCAACGAAGGGGCTTGTAAAAACATCTTGAATAGAGTTTGAACCCCAAAATGGCTCATGGTGGGTTGCTGTTTAATACCCCTTTGGTTAGAGAGAAGTGGGATCTTAAGGTTTACCGTGAGAGCCATGTTGTTTCTGTGGGAGATATTTAATGTGGCACATCGTTGGCTGGGTTTCAGGTGGGGAAGTGGTGATTTTAGCTTCTATACCACTGGAGAAACACACCCACTAACACCCACTGACATCTGGCTTTTGTCTTTACTTGGAAAGGTTGCAGTTGGCATTCATTCCCGGGACAAATAACCTCATGATATTTATTAGCTTCAGCTCCGATCGACAGTGATGGAAACATGGCACGAGAGAGGGGACATTGTCACGATGCTGTGGCGTGCATTGAAGTGAATATATACTTGAAATACCTAATGTTGAGTTCTTTTGACACAATTAACACTTATAGTTTCATGTCTTGATACATAAGAATAGATCATATTTGTTTGGTGTTATTATGGGATAATTACTATTCTTGTGGTACTACTACCTTATTAGGCCCATATTGAGCAGAGCATATTAAGCCCACATCTCATGTACAACAGAGGGTTATTGAGGAAAAACTCTTAACTAATGGACTATTACTTGTAGAATATGGTCATGTAGAATAAGGCATTACTAAGTGTTTTATAATGACTAATAAAGAGCCAATATACTGCTAATATGCATGTTCATTAACAACTAGTTGATGGTGAATATATATATTAATATAAAGTGTTACCGAAATGTCTTGTGAGATTTGGACAAAACATATGAGTGTGCTCTCCACAAAGCGTCCATTGACAGAAACAGTCATTTTACATCTCTGATATCCACTGAAACAATCAAATCGATTGATCAAAATCTCTCTTTGTTTTGGTTTGAGAGACTGAACTAGAATTGTTTTGATTGTTTCTGTCGAGTTTGATAATGATTATGATAAGCAAAGTAAAACAACTTGTTCTGTTAATGGAGTCTGGTGCCTTTGAGGAGAGTAGACCAAGCCCCCAGGAAGTGCGCCGGACTCTGTGCTTAATTTTCCCATTGACTAACATGGGGAAAGAGACGTCTGTAAATCAGCGGATACTTTTTTTTTAACTAAATAAACTACCCAGTATGAACTATCTTATAGCCCTTATTAGAATCATTCGGTCCTTAAAGTTATAAAATGCACTAAAAGCCGAATCTAGATTTATTTTCTCTCTCCATTCATTCTAGTGAGCCGAGAGTGGGCCCTCGGGGGGCGGGGCTTAAGGGGCGCCTGCTCTGTGAGCGCACATACGGGTTCTTCTGCTCTGACAGCTAGGCATGATGGGTAATCTGTGATGTTTCGCTCTCTCAAAAGTTGGGCCATTTTGCCTTCATGCGCCAATGAGCAGCTCTCATAGGAAAGAACGAGACCCCGCCTCCCACGCTGTTTCCAGTTCTTATTATACATCCATGGAGTAGACTTGTATGTTTTGTCCAAATCTCACAAGAAATGTTGAGTTATATATTCATAATGCACACCATAGCATCTTTAGAAAAACTGAAAAGGTGCAAAATGTCCCTTCCTCGTCTCACAGCTTTACACCGGGCTTTGATCTGTCTCTAACTCCTGATCACACAACATTTAACTGTAGAGGAAATGACTTCTAACTCGTCATTAGCTCCTACTAAATACTAAATACTAAATACTGACTGATGTGAGGTCTGTTTTGCAGAACATTAAAAGCATTGTCAGTGTGGTTTTCTCAGAGTGAGAATCCCCCCTCACTTCTGCTCTCAGACTCTCTAAACAAACAAACAAACAGTTGTTTTCCTTCACGGTGCAGCTTCAGTCAGGACAGTCGGCCATTGATCCTCCGGGCCTTTCACACCTTCTCCAATTCCCAGAAGTCTTTTCACTGATGTCCAACAGAGCTGCCTGTGTGTGAGAGGAGGGCAAGAAAACATATTATGACAGCAACACGGGAGCTTTTGGCCCCGTCTGAGAAGATGTGAAGTTAGACTGAATCTAGAAATACTCACATCCTTTAAGTCTAAAAGTACTCCATTGCAAGTTAAAGCTTTATGTTGTTACTTAAGTGAAAGTACAGTGCTCTTGTTAGCTTCACATTTCTATCACTTTCTCACGTTTTTCTCACATTTTCCGCTCGTTTTCTCAAGTTTATCTCATGTTTTCCTCTCGTTTTTTTGACGTTTTCCTCACATTTTCATCACCTTTTTTTCACATTTCTCTCTCGTTTTTTCTCGTTTTTTCACATTTTTATCACGTTTTTCTCACATTTTTCTCACGTTTTTCTCACATTTTTATCACGTTTTTCTCACATTTTTATCACGTTTTTCTCACATTTTTATTAGGTTTTTCTCACATTTTGGTCACGTTTTTCTCACATTTTTATCACGTTTTTCTCACATTTTTATCACGTTTTTCTCACATTTTGGTCACGTTTTTCTCACATTTTGGTCACGTTTTTCTCACATTTTTATCACGTTTTTCTCACGTTTTTCCTCACGTTTTTCTCACATTTTGGTCACGTTTTTCACTTAATTGTCTACTTCTGCTGTTTCTCTGTTGACACCTTGTTGTTGTTGTGTGTTCCAGGTTCCTCCCAGCCCTCAGAGTTCCCCAGTCTCCCCAGTAGAACCAGCAGCTTTCCCTCCAGCGCTCTCAGAGACTCGGGCAGCGACATCGAGAGCCTCCTGAGCGCAGAGCCGGGATACGACAGCGTCTTCAGAAAGGTCAGAACATGTGCTCTTTGATCCTCTCGCTCAGTGGGAAAGATTCACCTCGGGGGAAAACAACACTAATGATTGAAAGTTTTCTTTTTATTTTAAACAGTGGAAAAAATCCCTGAATACTAATCTCAGGATCACCTGGATTATTGTTTTATTTCATAATGTTACTGTCCAATCCTGAGTTTCACTTTAATTATAGATAGAAACCTTACCTCACCTTACCTTAGCTTACCTTACCTTACCTTACCTTACCTTAAATTACCTTACCTTACCTTACCTTACCTTACCTTAAATTACCTTACCTTACCTTACCTTACCTTAAATTACCTTAAATTACCTTACCTTACCTTACCTTAAATTACCTTACCTTACCTTACCTTAAATTACCTTACCTTACCTTACCTTAAATTACCTTACCCTACCTTACCTTAAATTACCTTACCTTACCTTACCTTACCTTAAATGACCTTACCTTACCTTAAATGACCTCACCTTACATTACCTTACCCTACCTTAAATTACCTTACCTTACCTTACCTTACCTTAAATTACCTTACCTTACTTTACCTTACCTTACCTTAAATTACCTCACCTTACCTTACCTTACCTTACCTTAAATTACCTCACCTTAAATTACCTTACCTTACCTTACCTTACCTTACCTTACCTCACCTTACCTTACCTCACCTCACCTCACCTTACCTTACCTTACCTTACCTTACCTTACCTTACCTTACCTTACCTCACCTTACCTTACCTTACCTTACCTTACCTTACCTTACCTTACCTTACCTTACCTTACCTTACCTTACCTTACCTTACCTTACCTTACCTTACCTTACCTTACCTTACCTTAAATTACCTTACCTTACCTTACCGTAATTTATCTCCTTACCTTTGATCTTCAAAAGTCATCAAACCCGTTTTTTGGCCAAAACCTCAATAATTAAAATGCTAATTATGACAATTTCCCCAAAATGTCATTTAGCTCACACTTTTATCCAAAGCAACTTACGTGCATTTAACCAAAAAGATACCAACTCAGAACAGCAAGAATCCTGCAGGAAAAGTAGCTTAAAATAAGCCATTTAACCATTGTAAGGACATCGGGTTAAAAAGTACAGAAGTGATGAAGAGATTATCTTGTGCACGGACTTGGATGCAAACTGGCGAAGCATATAACGGCTGGCTGTAATTTGACCTAAAAAACAATGTTGAGATATTTATGACAAAAGCATTGAAATGATAATAATGTTTACAGAAGGGAGTGGAGCTTCAAGTGTTAGGTGGGAATATTAGCAGGGACATAAATGAACAAAGGTCCCCTCTTAAAAACAACAACACCCCAGCTCTTGTTTTGGTCTCTGTTCGAGTGTTTACCGGCTGGTCGTCGAACCTAAAGGTGATATACAATCAATACATAAACGTTAAACTGATAGAAGAGTTCACTTTGATTTCAGGGATCACCAACTCTAACAGCTCCTCCTCTGGCTGCCGTCCGAGCACCAGCTCCCTCTCGCTGAGCAGCCAGAATATATGTTGTTATCGCCCTGTAGGGATTATATACAGGAGTATGTCTCGAGGCTGAGATGCTGATCATCTACTCAGTATGTTTTAAAGCCAGCAGCTCCGTGTGTTTCTGCTGTTTGAAGCCCTTTAGTTATCGTTAGAAAAACCTCTCATGTTCTGCAGCATGGAGCCCACGAAACATGCTCTTGTTGATGTGAACTGAACGTCCCTTTTTGCACTGAAAAAACTGAAACCTTGACTTTAATTAAATGTATTAAATCAACAGATTTCACATAACTGTATTAGGTTAGTTGGAAGCAATGATATTACCTTTAAATAAAAACACATTAGGTTAAACTTCATATTTATGTTTCTGTCTACGTCCCTTTAGGGGCTCCGTGGAAATACTTAATTGAAATGTTCACAATAAACTGATAACTAAAAAGCACTAGAATGTCAGTTTTTACCGCTTCATATTATACTAACATAGACTTAAATGCCTAAACTCATAGCCAACAAAGTCTAGTGACACAGGATTAAGAAAAAAAAGGGACAAAATAAACACTATTTAAAATTCTGTCAAATCTTTCCCACACCTTTTTAAAGCTAAGGACATGTGACCCACAAACATACACTTCAGTCACATGCACTTTGACTGACACACACACACACACACACACACACACACACACACACACACACACACACACACACACCAGGCCGCCTTTTATTTCCCAGGAAGTGTTGTCCGCACATGAAACAGATCTTTGATTCGTCCAACAGAAGCAGCTCTGTGCTCTGCAGCTGCAGCACAATGCAGCCAGTTACAGCTCACACCTCCAAACAGCATACTCTCCCATACCTGTGTGTGTGTGTGTGTGTGTGTGTGTGTGTGAGCTCTTTCCCACCAGACCCAGCCCAAAAACGTCCCAATGCTCTTTGTTTTCGAGATTGAAAGGTTTTATTGTCAGATGCACAATGGTTTGGACAATACAAATCTGAAGGCTCCTTCAGTGCAACTTCCAAAATACGTAAAGACACAAAAGGAAATAAATTAAATTATAGAATTATAAATAAAGTAGTGAAAGAGAATGGAGCAATGGGGACACAATGGAAGTAAAATGCAGAAATACCTAGACTGTAAACATGTCAACTAGAGTAAGATCAACTAAAAACAAGTAATGTACAGAAGACTGTGTACTTTAATACCATACAAATAAATGTCTACACTGTAAACCGATGTGTTTTATACATATTTAAGTGACATTCATTACGGTTTTTTTGTTTAATACTGCAGTGATTTGGGTACGAACAATGGAAGATAAAACAAGACTTTTCCGGCAAACTTGGACCCGTTTCTCTGTCGCAAAAATGCAATTAAAGCAAATAAACCAATAATAATAGTAAAGTTTATGTATTTAACACATTTAAAATAACCTCAGTTGACCAAAGTGCTTTCCAGTTTTAAAACAAGACAATCAGCAATCAATTAAAGATTACATACACAATTGTACACAGGTAGGAAATGGATCAAATGAAAGTAAATACAAGAAAAGCAGCAATAAAGTTACAGCATGAATAAAGTCAAACTAAGATAACTTGAGAGAAGACATGGGTTTTTCTCTAACACTATTACAGTGATAATCATAACAGTGTATTATAATCATAATAATAGTTTTGTTTATTTCCTTTTAATGACTGTCTTTAACACTGATGACTAAACCTTGAATAGACTATACAGTATATAACGTAAGGTTTGTTTCCCGAGGTTTCCTTCATGTATTGTTGTTTGTTTTAATGTCAGCGCTGCTATAAAGATTCTCCGGCTCATTATCCCTGAGCTTTGCCTTTTGGTCCTCATTACTTTCATTACTTTCATTACCTCTCATTCCTGTGGGTTAGACGCTCTCCGGCTTCTCTTATTTCACCGCGAGCTTCAGTGAAGAAATGCTGACGGATAAACAACGTGAAAGCTCGCTAATCACCAACAATAATTTAAAAAACATCTGTCCTCTTCTGGACTATTTTTATCTGTGATAATCTGTCAGTTTCTGAATCAGAATCGGGTTTATTTACACTTTCAATTTCAAAAACATGCAAGAAAATATTATAAAAACTATTAAATTATTCATTATTCAAGCGTCTTTGAGCACTATGAAAAGCGCTATACAAATCCAATGTGTTATTATTATTATTAATAATAACATTTATTTTTCTTGAGGCCCTATTATGTTCATTTCGGGTGTATATCAGTATGTAGTGTCTCTACTTTAAAGAGTCCTCTCCAGCTGATGTTCAGGTGTATATCAGTATGTAGTGTCTCTACTTTAAAGAGTCCTCTCCTGCTGATGTTCAGGTGTATATCAGTATGCAGTGTCTCTACTTTAAAGAGTCCTCTCCTGCTGATGTTCAGGTGTATATCAGTATGTAGTGTCTCTACTTTAAAGAGTCCTCTCCTGCTGATGTTCAGGTGTATATCAGTATGCAGTGTCTCTACTTTAAAGAGTCCTCTCCTGCTGATGTTCAGGTGTATATCAGTATGTAGTGTATCTACTTTAAAGAGTCCTCTCCTGCTGATGTTCAGGTGTATATCAGTATGTAGTGTCTCTACTTTAAAGAGTCCCTCTCCTGCTGATGTTCAGGTGTATATCAGTATGTAGTGTCTCTACTTTAAAGAGTCCTCTCCTGCTGATGTTCAGGTGTATATCAGTATGTAGTGTATCTACTTTAAAGAGTCCTCTCCTGCTGATGTTCAGGTGTATATCAGTATGTAGTGTCTCTACTTTAAAGAGTCCTCTCCTGCTGATGTTCAGGTGTATATCAGTATGTAGTGTCTCTACTTTAAAGAGTCCTTTCCTGCTGATGCTCCTACTATAGGATGGGTTAAAAGCAGAGAACACATGTCACTGTTTAAAGAGGGGTTCATCCCTCCAATTATATTCTGTCTCTCTAATAACATGTATACGTCTTGTGTTCCTGCAGAGCGATGACCCAGTGACGGGGGGAGACAGCACCAGCGAGGTTTCCGTCTCCGTCTCCTGCTCCTCCACCGACGAGACCAGCTCCAGCCTCGAGGGAAACCAGGGCCTGGAGTGCAGCTGGAGCCCAGAGGAGAGCATCAAATCTGGGGCTCCAGGAGGAGGAGGAGGAGGAGAGGCTGAGGAAGAAGCCAAAGACAGAGTGACGGAGGTGCCGCGGCGCTCCAGTATTCTGAGGAACAGTATCCGCTCTCTGTCTCCGCTCCGACGCCACAGCTGGGGACCGGGGAAGAACAACGGAGGAGACGCCGAGATGAACCACAGGAGGTGAGACGGCTTTATACACAATCAGAGAGAGCAAGAGTACACACATCCTTTCCTCAAGTAGAAGTACAGATACTCGTGTTTAAAAATACTCTGGTGAAAGTAGAAGTACTGACTAAACTTCTTTACTCAAGTAAAAGTAAAGAAGTGAGGGCTTTGAAATGTACTTCAGTAAAAAGTACCCATAACTAGCAGCTGTTTTAAAGAGTACCTGACCTCCCTTTATATTAATAGAACAATAATGTCATTGTTAGCTAATGAATGTTTCCATGCTGAACAACGGCAACATGACAACGTTTTCATTGGTCCCTCTTCTTTAGAGAAGACCAGGAAATGATGGATACACGGATCGTGTTCAAATCAATAGGCACGCAATGACTCTAAATAATAATGATCACGCCACCAGACACACATTCAAACTAAAGGAACCAGCCTGTTTGGGAAATGTAAGAAGTAGAAAGTACATTTATTTGTGTTAGAAATGTAAGAAGTCAAAGTAAAAAGTCAGAAAAATGCACTTAAGTACAGTAACGAAGTATTTGTACTCCACTACTCTGCACCCAATCAACACAGTATAACACCCAGTTTATTAAACATCTGTGGTATCAACCTGTCCAGTTAGGAAGCAGAAGTGTTGAATGTTGTGTTTGTTTTAAGGGGTTTTATTCAGTAACTATCTTACATGTTGACATCATTGCTCCAGGACAAGAGCAGAGTTATCCCATGATCTCGGATAAATCCACTAGGCGTGATTTGTTTCTTGTTAATGACCTTAAAGTGTGCTGACAGGTGGATTTTGTTGCCAGATTAGCTGTTTCCCATTGTTTCCAGTCTTCGTGCTAAGCTAAGCTAAGCCTCTACTGGTTCAAGCTTCATATTGAAAGTGGCCCTATTCTGCAAAGGCTTAAAATCCCTGTGTGGGCGGGACATCTCTAAGCTGTTGACCAATCACAACAGAGCCGGCCAGCTAACCAATCAGAGCAGACTGGGCTCTGGTTTCAGACAGAGGGTGAAAAGAGGTGCTGCAGCACAGGCTGTATGAGAACAATAAAGAGCTTCTTGTGAGATTACTCGATTATGACGCGCAGATGTCTGTGTTAATGGAGCATCTGTGTTGCCATTTGTTTGCTGTCGCTAGCAAAATTGCACAAACACACACGTACACACACACACACACACACACACACACACACACACACTCTCCTCTCTCTCTCTCTCCTCTCTCTCTCCTCTCTCTCTCTCCTCTCCTCTCTCTCATCTCTCTCATCTCTCTCTCTCTCTCTCTCACACACACACCACACGAGACTCAGAGACACATGTACAGTAATCATCAGTTGACACTTCACACCCACATGACGCATGTCTCCACTCATGCAGAGCACATTAACAACAAGACCTTGACATCTTTATTGAAAAGCTTCCGGCGTTTCAATCAGCTGCTTCTTCATGATTTGTAGGTTCAATAACCGCTTAGCTTTCATCTGAGTCTTCCTGTAAAGTGGAACTGATGGGAGAAACAAATATATCTTCTGAGGTCTTTTGTATTACCGGAAATATAATAATACATTTCTTAATTAGCTCCAATATATATCCCTGATTTCTGTGACTGTCTTTGACATGCTCAGTCACTTTTTAAAGAGTTTTCTTGTTCTCAGTTAGATGAGAAGAGTGCGATAAATATTAAAAATGCCCTATTATGTTTTTTGGGGTTTTCCCTCTCCTGTAAGGGGCGGGAAATATCTATCGTTCTCCCATTTTCTTTAAATATGCTTGTTGATCTTTAGCTGCGCTGTGCTCCATCCCTGCAGGAAACTCTGCTGAGTGTTACCCCGCTTTACCGGCTGAAATATAGAGAAATACTAATAGATATTGTGTATTTCATCATCATAGAAACAGGGTCGTTTTGGAGGCTACGCCTGTATTGTTGATGGATTGACAGCAGAGCTTTTGTGTGTGTGTTAAACATTTCTGTAGGTAGGTCTGTTATATATGTATGAATCATTTGGAAATACATTTATTGCTATTTTCTAATGTATCTAGGGAAAAAAATACACATTTCAAGATTTCATTTTCCAGCTCTGTATCCCCTGAAATACAGTGTCAACTTGGGGTATGCATTTATATATCAAGAACACCATATTACATCTATTTTACACCCTTATTACAGACAAATAACACCAATAATACTCCTTTATTACACTATTAGTACACCCATATCATACTTATATAACATCAATATTAAACCCATATTACACCTTTTATGTACCCATACACCGTTATTGCACCACTTTTAAATTCTATATTACAATTACATTACACCCATTTCACACATGTGTAATGGCTGTTTCCCAAAAGATATGGAAACCATTTAAGGGTTTCTTTCTATCTATCTTTCGTTATATTTTTTGTGTGTCTCAGGCAGCTTTAAGTTGTGAACAGAATACGACACCCCCTGTTCTCAGACCCTTGCAAAAATACGGGAAAACTCCAAAAGAAACCCAAAAAATGACTGAGTAAAAATGTAACAAACGGATCCCTTCCCGAGCAACATCTCTACGGAAAAAACACGTTTTTAAAACCCAACAGCGAAGTCTTTTTCCATGAAACATGACATGGTTTCCTCGAGTGATGTCACAGATCTTACCGTGATATTTTTAATGTAGGGACTACTTTCTCAGGCTCTAATAAAGAAATCAGAGAACACCGTGGTCAGCCATCGGGCAACACACTTCAATCACAATGTGTTTACACCAGCTGTCGATAGCATGATTAGCACGTAGGCTATTTTCAAAGTGTTGCATTTCTTAGAAACAGCTAAGGTTCAAGTTCTGTATCCTGTGTTCTGATGATCTAACCACGACACTGCAGCAGGAAGTGAACTTATCCCTATGTGCAGTGTTTATACTTACCAATGTGAGATGCACTGAGTAGTTTAGAGTAGCTTAGGACTTATGTCTCAGTATTTCTATCACTTTTTATCCTTTCACAGCCTCCTTATTTCTGTGTGTGTGTGTGTGTGTGTGTGTGTGTGTGTGTGTGTGTGTGTGTGTGTGTGTGTGTGTGTGTGTGTGTGTGTGTGTGTGTGTGTGTGTGTGTGTGTGTGTGTGTGTGTGTGTGTTGTGTGTGTGTGTGTGTGTGTGTGTGTGTGTGGTGTGTGTGTGTGTGTGTGTGTGTGTGTGTGTGTGTGTGTGTGTTGTGTGTGTGTGTGTGTGTGTGTGGTGTGTGTGTGTGTGTGTGGTGTGTGTGTGTGTGTGTGTGTGTGTGTGTGTGTGTGTGTTGTGTGTGTGTGTGTGTGCTGTGTGTGTGTGTGTGTGTGTGTGTGTGTGTGTGTGTGTGTGTGTTGTGTGTGTGTGTTGTGTGTGTGTGTGTATGTGTGTGTGTGTGTGTGTGTGTGTGTGTGTGTGTGTGTCACCTTCTTTGAATTAGGTGTATTTACATGGATTTGCATTTGTCGTTAGTGTGTGTGTGGAGCGTGTGAATGTGCTGGCAGTCAGCAGAGTGTGTGCATGTCTCAGTGGGACAGGGTGTAGTTATACTGGGAGGAATCAGGCTTTATTATGGCAGATATACTCGTCTTCATCCACAGGTGAGTGCTGCTCTACGCTGGATTCTGATAGTCAGCATTATTTGATCGTTTATTTGAGGTCAGTTATGTCTGAATTAAGGATGCATTGATACAGATATAAAAAATCAGGCCATTACTCAACAAATTAATCATTCGGTCTAATATATACAATTTAATCTTTGTATATATTCATTATATACTGGACTTTTGACAAAAATCGTGTTTTTTGAAGATATTCCATGATTTGTCAATTAAAAGATTATAAGATGATTGACAGAAGAATAACAGCCATCTGTTTTTGTGATATATTAACTGTAAAAGTCATGTTCCATGCAAAAATGGGATGAGATTTCTTGCTTTTTCACCATTGTTATTACATGTATTTAAACATTAATGGGTTGTGGACTAACACAATTATAATTAATTAAACATTATTTTTTTTTTTTTTTTGAATGGACATTTTTCACTATTTTCCAATGAATCGATAGCCAGATTAATTGATAATGAAATAACTCATTAATACAGCTCTTTTCATTTCTGTAATTGCTGCATGTAGTTTAACAGAGATACCAGCAAGTCACACCTGATGTTGTCTTAATATAACGTAAAATAATGATCCCAGTGAGGCGTGCAGCTTATTAACAAACACTGGTTTGGGATCAGTGCTCGTTAGCGACTCCAGGTATAAATCAGGTCTGAAGAAGTGGGATTTCTACCTCCCTACATTTGAATGTGTTGGCCGATGATTTGCTGGATCATGGAGTGCCAGACAAACCGCGGATAAGAGAGATTTACGGGCGCAGCGTGGAGTATCCCAGCGTCCGTCCCGAAGCATCGCTCATCCTGAAATGTAGCTGCACTGTTCCTCTCCATAATCGTTGTATTGGATTCTCCCCGGCCTCTTATTTCCCGTCACAGATCGATGTAATGGGGTTCCTAAATCACAGCAAACCTCTCCATGCGGATGCTGATGTTGGGAGACACTCAGCTGTAAATCTGATGCAAACCCAGCCATAACTCAGCTGCTCAAACACTGTGTGTGTGTGGGGGGGGGGGGTGCGTGTTTGCAGCAGTAGCAGGTTTGATTAGCCAAGATGGACTCTAAAGGGTCTAAAAAACCTGGACATGTTATTTATTTAAATCCAAAACCAATTAATCAAAGTTAATAATGATGCATAAAATAATCAACCCCTCCAATATTGTGAATGGAGTCAATATAATTGCCATATGAGTCAAACTAATGGCAATTACTCCATATTTACAATATTGTTTTGTGCAGCTCTAACCCAGAAACACAGTCTGACTGCTCCAATGTCACAGCTGACTTCTTTTAACAAGTTAAGGTTTATTTACAATTATTCAAAACAAAGAAATGGTCTCAGCTGATGAATGTCCGTGGCTGCTGCTTCCTTATATGTTGGGAAATCCTGAGTCAGGCATTTCCTTTGAGTCCCAGATGTAGAGTCTCACCTATAAACATATTCTTTAAGCACTTGTAAGAAACATGGTAAAGCCCTCACTGTGGATGTCCCTCCTCTGGCTTCCCCCAAATACTTTCCCAGACTTTGGTGTAGCTGCATCTCCTTTTCTTTCTCTTACTTTCCATCCTAAATGTGCACCTCGGTAGCTTGTGCTGTGCTGTTTTGATCAGAATCAGAATCAGGTTTATTACCAGGAAGGTTAACACATACGAGGAATTGGACTTGGTGTCGTGGTGCATACATCAAAATAAAACAGCAATTAAAAACACAGATAGAAAACCTCTTGAAGAAAACTATAATAACATTAAAAATATATAAAAAAATATAGTAAAATATAGCAATATTTACATTGAATATGATTGAAATCGTAGAAATAGAATTGGAATAAAATATGTGCAGTAATGAAAAACGAAATGATTGTAGACTTTTCTTTTTGCCGCTGCTTTTAATTGAACTATTCACATCTTAAACTGCACTGTAACTTTTATCCATGTATTTTTTCTTTTAATGTTTATTTTATTATCTTTTCTTTTTAATGACTGATTTTAAATGCCATTTTCATAATGTCTTCCATTTTTGTAAAGCACTTTGAATTGCCTTGTGTTGAAAGGTGCTATATAAATAAACTTGCCTTGCCTTGCCTTGTAAACATTATGTGCATTAATGTAGTGACTGATTGACATCTGACACAGCCAATGGTGTTAGCGCTCTCATGCTTTCTACATAGCCATTGGAAAAAAGACAAGTTTTATGAGGGCGACTGTCAATGAAATGTGGGACATGGTGTCAATTTGCGCAGCGCAGGAAAAGTGATAAACCCCTCTAGCAGGGCTGACACAGAGGGGTCTGAGGCTACAATGGGTGATCCGTTTGGTGTTTTGAGCAAAACACTTCATAGACATGTTTTGTATACATATGGCCCTGTAATATATTGTTCAGATATAGCATAATAGGTGAGCTTTGAGTAACGTGTGTCCTCTTTCTGTCCTCACAGCTACAGCCTGGAGGGTCTCAGCGGGATCCAGGAGGATCTGAGGGGCCCGGTCACAGCTCAGAGGCCCCTCAGAGTCCTGGAGCCCTCGAGGAGACAAGATTACCGGGGATCACTGGTGTCTCTGAGCGAGATCCAGGAGGAGCAGAGGGTCAGCTCTCACACACACACACACACACACACACACACACACACACACACACACACACACACGCACACGCACACGTACTCAGAATCAGAATCAGAATACCTTTATTCGTCCCACAGAGGGGGAATTTACATTTGTTACAGCAGAAAAGAGCCAAAGACAGCTTACACACTCACACACACACACACACACACACACACACACACACACACACTCACACTCACACTCACACTCACACTCACACTCACACTCACACTCACACTCACACACACACACACACACCCTTATGCCCCCATAAGGGAGGCAAGTCCCCACACGTGACTGTGTAAACAAATGTAGGTCCCCACAAGGATAGTAATGCTAGGACACACACACACCCTCACACATACAGACAGACAGAGATGCACACACACAAACGCACATATCATATTCTATTGACATGTATATAGACTTCTTGCACTATTTTGTATTTTTGTATTTTATTATATATGTTGCATTGTTGGAGGAGCTCAGGTCAGAACAATTGCATTGCCATTTCTACACTGTAGCTTTGTACATATGACAATACAACCTTTGAATCTTTGAAAACACACACACACACACACACACACACACACACACACACACACACACAGACACACACACACTTATATCCTTCAGATGTCTTATCCTCATAATGTCTCGCGGTCCTGAGGGATCCTTAAAAGCGTCCTCGGTCTGATTCACTCGAGAGGGAGATGTGTTTGTAAAGCTCGTACACAAACAACAACACTTGTAAACATTGAGGGGACCTTCAGTGAGCAGATTAGTAAGAATTAATAAACATGCCTTTCCTCCGGCGGCTCCTCTCATCAAAAATCATTAATTGTGTGGTTTTGCGTCTGAGTTTCCTGTTTCCTGTTTGAGTGGCTGCTAGACATAAAGACACCGCTTTTTAAATGAGCTTTTCATTCATTATCTTTTAGTCTTTATTAATAATATACACTTTTAAAGTCAGCGTTTCAGTTCTATCAGTGCACCTGGAGTATGAGAAGTGCTCCATAAACACACTGTATCATCAGTGTTCTGTTTCCTTTTCTTTACATGCACTGTGTTTGACTGAAGTGTGTGTGTGTTTGGGTGCAGAAATCGAGGCGCTATCGGCCCCTGAGGAACAGCTGTCCCCCGATGGCCCTCCCTCTCACCAAGTCTGTGTCCATGCTGGCCATCAGCCAGAGAGACCTCGATGGTGAGTGAACAGTCATGATTACACCCTGTAATCACAGCTCCATGTCATCAGATCATCTCTCTGTAACCTGCTTTCAAATCAGAACATATCAAAATGAGTGAAATCTCTAAAAGCTGAAGTGTGCTTCACATGCTGCTTTTTCAAATCTGAAAAGCTTCAGTGTGCATAATTATTATTATTTATTGGAAGGTGTTATGAGGAATGTAGAGTTTATTTAACACAAAATGCAGATGTTTTCTCCATATCATCAAATATCAAAATGATCATGAGAGCAGACCTATTGTCTCCCGCTTTTATCTTGGGGTTTCTTTGGGAGTTTGTACCTTCTGACTGTGAGGGTCTATATCCTGTACACACTGTTAAGCCCCCTGAGACGCATGTTTCATTTGTGATATTGGGCTATACTATTAGGTAATGAGGTGAGGGAGTAAAATACATTATAATGGTAGTTTTAAGAGTTATTGTATGAGGTCTTTATCTGAAGTCAATCAATCACAGTGTAGGTGACACTTAAGCTAACCGATTCAGTTCAATAGCTTTATTAGCATGACCATATACATACAGTATTGCTAAAGCTCTGTATAGTTGCCACATCTATACACAAATACATACATTTATATATATTACCAACCATGTAGGTTACTTGATTGACATCTGTCTCACCCTCTTATAAATGGTGTTACACCTTTATATTCTTATTTATTTATCAAGCTGAGCAGAGGTCTAAGAACAACACCTGTAAAAAACATTTCATGATTTCTTCACCACTTCGTTTTTAGGCGTTACAATTTCTCTTTATTCTAAAATGTCTCCCTCCTTCTCCTCACTGTTTATATAACATTTCTTAATTGTATTTAATAAGTTTCCTGCTGTCTTTCTGTCTGTCTTCCTTCCTTCCTGCCCCCCCCCCCCCCAGCTGTGGGACACCTGAGGCGTAAGAGGAGAATTTCTTTCTCTTTCAACTTTCCCCCCCTCATCAAATCTAAGTCTCAGTTCCTTTACGGTGAATCTTCATCTAGTGATGATGAGGACAACCTGAGTAAGTGATGATCTGTAGACGTAGAAACACTAGAGAATAGCTGTGGTGTTAGAGCGTCAGTAGTTTCCTATCCTGACCCAATGAAGGACCCACAACATTAGGAATCAAGTTCATATCTTTGACAAAGATGGGACAAATTGGTAATATATACAACTTAAAACCATGATAGTGAGCTTCTGGTTAGATATGACCATCCATGTTCTTATGAGAATGATTTATGCATTTGTTTATCAGTTTTTGTTTTGTTTTAATTTCCTGTTTTTCTTTCTGATTTGTGGAGTTATAATTTTTGTGTGAAATTTGTTTAACTGTCTATCATTTAGTATCATGTAAGCCCTGTAACCATATATAACGGAGGACCTATTATGATCGCTTTGGTTTTCATTATTAAGTTCTCCTGGAAGTAAATCACATTTTTGAAGGCCTTACCTTTTAAACTTTACACTTTTACATTTTATATGTTCATGGTCGCGTTCATCGGACTCTCGCTAAAAAACTTGCCCCATACAAAGTTGCCAAAAGGCAGCCCCTCGTTCAGGTTCTACCTATACATTTGAAATCTGGTAGGTATATGTAGCACGGTGAGATGCACAAAAAAGCCTCTTGGAGTCATACCGTTAACTCAACAGGAAGACGGACATTTTTTATTTGTTGTACAACTTTTGGCCAATTTCTGCACTTTTCACATGCCACAATTGAACAAACTCCTTTTGACTTCAAATATGGTCAGTTCTTTCTCGTTGCCCCAGTAGAAACACAGACCACACTTTTCCCTCATCATCCTATTTAAGATTTGCCTCTCTGATGCAGAGCAGGTCAGCAAAGCTTTGCATGTTTACAAGTACGTCAGAGGAGAGAGAAACGACTGTCTAGGAAGGTGTATAGCTACGTTTAACTGATTCAAAAGAGTGTGTGCTGATTTCTGGGCAAAGCCTGCAGTTTTTGCCTTGATGTGAAATCAAACAGAAACACAACTAGGTCAGAGATTAAGTAACAAATACTGTAGCAACAGTTTGGCAGGAAATCTGACCTTAAAATACTGCATGAAAAGGAAAAGTGTGTTTTGAGAGTTCACGACGTTCGATGTGTTGCAGTCAGATATTTGTGGGAGCCGGTCTCCAGCAGCCATTAGTGTCCCGGCACCGGATCAAAGGAAACACTTTGAAACACTTTGAGCTCCGGCTCCTGGCCTCGGTGAGGGTCGATCCAGAGCCGCTCTGTTATTGGCTCAAACACAGTGAAAGCCGTTCTGTTATTGGCTCAAAACACAGCCACACACACACACACACACACACACACACAGCCACACACAGCCACACACAGCCACACACAGCCACACACACACACACACAGCCACACACAGCCACACACACACACACACACACACACACACACACACACACACACACACACACACACACACACACACACACACACACACACAGCCACACAGCCACACACAGCCACACACAGCCACAGCCACAGCCACACAGTGAGAGGAGCTAATGCTAACACCTGGACGCTACAGGTAGCTGTTGAAGGACAGGATGGCGTGCATTACGCATTTATCAGCCCAATTCTTACAGCCAAAAACTCACATATTTTACATTTATACACTTTTTTTTGTATATTTTTTTATGTATTCCTATTTTTTACATCACTTTTTTTATTCTTTCACATCATTTTAAGATATTTTTTTAATTATTTCCAGACATTTCCCCAGTCATTTTTAGACATTTTATTAAATGTTCAATTGTTAATTATTTTATTAAATGTTCAATTATTTTCAAGACACTTTCTATGTGTAACTTTCCATTTTATTCCCACATTGTTGGACATTTTAACATATGTTGGAGACCTTCTTCCAGATGAGTAGCTGTACATCTGTAAATCCATAGAGCTCTTTGATTGTAGGATTAAGTGAATATTTATATTGACATAATATATTTGAATTGCACTTTTTGCCCTAGCATTAAGTACCGGTATACAGAAAAAAAAAAAGTTGAATCTGGTATTTAAGGTATTTTTTAAATTCTCACCTATAAGTCTAACATACTCAAAGTTCAGGTAAATACAGAATAACCTGGTGGTAAGTGCGGTCAACCTCAAGCTGAGATTGCACTCACCTTAAAGAGAGGGAAGAGGGAGAACTTCCAACAACACAGTAAATAAAAAACTTCTCTCCAGTTTCTTTTTTGTGATGGTTTTTTAATGAATCTTTGCCGCTGACTTCCTCTCTCATTTCTCTCCAGGTATGAGGTCGTTTTCCAGCGCCTCTGGGTCACTAGCATACAGGTCGGTCGAACACACACACACACACACACACACACACACACACACACACACACACACACACACACACACACACACACACACACACACACACACACACACACACACACACACACACACACACACACACACACACACACACACACACACACACACACACACACACACACACACACACACACACACACACTCTGCAGCTGCACCTTTTATAGTCCTATAAAGGCAGTGTGTGGCTGTGGTTCTCTACAGGACCTTTATTGTGCTGTAAAGAGCTGCTTCAGGAATGTGTGAACAGGTATGAATGCAGCTGTTAGAGGATATATATTAAGTGTGTGTGTGTGTGTGTGTGTGTTGCAGTATATCAGAGGAGGAGCCCGGCCCTCTGCGCAGTGACGTTGATGGAAAGAGTACGACGAAAGTCAGCCGGACCTTCAGCTACCTCAAGAACAAGATGTACAAGAAGACCAGGGTACGAGTTTCATTATCCTTCAAACACCTTCTATCCCCTACAGACTGTACTGTTTCTCATGTGTGTCATGTGTTGCCCTTAAATAAGCCTCCTTTAAAGAGAAACAAACACACTTTCAAAATGCATTGATCCTTTATTCTGCATTATTTGACCTATATTTCCGACATTTTACATATTTTCCATAGTTTATTTATATTATTATACTTTGGACATTTTGCACATATTATTCAGACATTTTATTACATATTTTCCCCAAAAAATCACTCATATTTCAAATATTTTTTATTATATTTCAGAGGTTTATTCACATATTTATAGGACATTTTCCACACATTTTTTCACACATTTTTTCTAATCCTTCTCATATTTTCCAGACTTTTTCCATATGCTCTTCAGACATTTGATGACACTTTCCTTGGACATTTTGTAAAAACATTTTAGGCATTTTATTACTTATTTTTAGGAAATGTTTCAATTATATATCAGACATTTCCCACATATTGTTCCGACATTTAATGACATATTTATTTAGTAGTTATTTACATAATTATAGGACATGATTTGAACACAAAACTCAGCACCACTATGAAACACTCAGTGGTGACATAATGCTGGTGTGTGTGTGTGTGTGTGTGTGTGTGTGTGTGTGTGTGTGTGTGTGTGTGTGTGTGTGTGTGTGTGTGTGTGTGTGTGTGTGTGTGTGTGTGTGTGTGTGTGTGTGTGTGTGTGTGTGTGTGTGTGTGTGTGTGTGTGTGTGTGTGTGTGTGTGTGTGTGTGTGTGTGTGTGTGTGTGTGTGTGTGTGTGTGTGTGTGTGTGTGTGTGTGTGTGTGTGTGTGTGTGTGTGTGTGTGTGTGTGTGTGTGTGTGTGTGTGTGTGTGTGTGTGTGTGTGTGTGTGTGTGTGTGTGTGTGTGTGTGTGTGTGTGTGTGTGTGTGTGTGTGTGGTAATACTGACACTGAGGATTGCTTTCTGTGTCACTGTCCTGTCTACAAGAACATATGCTATGCTCTTTTAGTTCAATTACATCAATTTATGTGGATTTTCTGGTCGGATGAAAATGAAAAACCTCAGAAAAATTACCTTTTTAAGCAGATTTATTTCTGTATAGCGAAGGCACTATTTCATTAAAGCCCAACCAATGACATAAGACTTACTTTCGCAACATCAAAACATGTTTCACCACTGCAACTGCTTTTATTGTGTCTTTTGAGAGCCCATTAGGATTAGGCACATGTGCACGACACCAACATATAGACAGACATTTGTTAATGAAACCTTCAATATTTAGATGTTAAAATGACCCTGATAAAAAAAGTCCTGTTTGGGGCAAAGTGGGTCCAGATATAACCTTAAACTGTGCGATAGTGCAGGCGTTGCAGAGAGACACAGAGGGCGAACAGGAAGTGAAACAGGAAGCTGGAGCTGTGGTTTGTATAATCTCTTCTCTAACCTCAGTCTGCTTTTAAAGAGACAGACCAGAGCCACAGGTCAGCCGTATTGATCGTGGTTTTGCAGATAATAAGACAATTTAAAAACGTTGATGTTCAAATTGACACCTGGTTATTGGATTGCATCTATAATATACTGTATATATATATATATTAAAAATATTCAGAGACAACCAACAAAGCCACCTCAGCGACCTCAGCGACCTCAGACCTGTCACACAGCACTTTTAACTCAATCAGATTGAAATGGACGTGACTTTTTAAAATCAAAGATATGAAAAACATTCTCCCCTTGATGTTTGCAGTGTTTGCTCGTAATCCAGCCTCCTTGTTCACACGCCCTTTTCCAAACTGAATGTATGTTATTCCTATTGCTTTAGATGGTGAAAATAGGATTAGTAAACCTGCATAACTAACATAAGTTTGGGGAAATTAACAGTACATGTTTTATCATTTATTCACATATATATATCTCACATTTTAGGACGTTTTTTTAATTTCTTTTGGCACCTTTCTTGATATTTCTTCACCCATTTCTCTGCATGTCAAAGGTCTGGAACTCCTCCATAGACACTGATTGTGGAAACATGTTAAAGATGACAAAGCTAGTTCTTAAAGCTCTTCTCTCTTAAGTTGTGCTTCAGTTTCTCCACAGTCTCAGTGTTCTTCAAGAGGATGTAGTTTGTGCAGTTTTGAAACAGCGTCTGCAGCAGAGGGTCATTGCAGAAACAGAGGCTCACTTCCTCATCGTCTTTCTCCTGATGGAGCCTCACAGCTGGTAGCAGACAGACACACACACACACACACACAGACAGACACACACACTCACTCACACTCACTCACTCACACACACACTCACTCACACACAGACGGACAGGGATGTTGTACAGGAGGTTCGCAGGGAGCCATGGCTTCTCCCTAAGGTGGAGATGTTGGCTGGAGGTAGGCTAATATAGTTAATAGTTGTGACTGTCAAAGTGTTAAAAGGCTTGTTGCAGCCGTATGAGCCGATGTCTTGTTTTCCAGTGAAGTCGTCGCCGGTTAAAGTGTCCTTCACTCTTTCTGTTTGAATATGTCGCAAGAGGTTACTTCTGAATGCTTGTGGCCAAAATCTAAAAGAACTAAAAAATTAAGACAGCAGTGGCACTATGTACTCCAACTGGCATTTGGTAGGGAGCCACAAGGTTCCTTTTTCAAGTATTTTTGCTTAATTCAGTTGTTTAAATGTCGCTAGTGATTACTCCTGTTCTGAACGCTTTTAGCGAAAATATAAAAATCCTTAAAAAACGTATTAACTTACAAATAATTGGTCGTCCTTGCTATATATATGTGAAGCATCATATTTAAAAGAAAAACGATTCTTGAAATAAGATACTGTGGTTTCTAGTTTTTGGAAGTGTTAGACCAGCTTTGGTTAAGCAGCTGTTGCAGGAAGTGAGAATGAGGAAGTATTCACATCCTTTACTTCAGTAAAAGTCACAATACGTGTTAAAAGCCAGCTTGTGTAAAAGTACAAAGGTGTGATCAGAAATAGTAGACAAAAATAAAATGAAAAGAAAAAGTACTTAAAATGTCCTCCATGTGTCATATATTATTATATGCATGACATTATAATATTTATAGTGTTGGATTAATAAAGTTGTTTACTGCAAGAGTCCTCTCCTGCTGATGTTCAGGTGTATATCAGTATGTAGTGTCTCTACTTTAAAGAGTCCTCTCCTGCTGATGTTCAGGTGTATATCAGTATGTAGTGTCTCTACTTTAAAGAGTCCTCTCCTGCTGATGTTCAGGTGTATATCAGTATGTAGTGTCTCTACTTTAAAGAGTCCTCTCCTGCTGATGTTCAGGTGTATATCAGTATGTAGCGTCTCTACTTTAAAGATTGGTTAGCTGGCCAGTGATTGGTCAACTGCTTAAAGATGTCCCGCCCCTTAGCCTATCATGTACAATATGTTGAAGCCAATAGAAGCGCATAATGATGTCAATATGTTAAGGAAATAAACAAAGGAGTCCAATGGAGTGGGATGTTAGCCTCTGCAGACCATTTACATGCACTACAACCTGTATATCACACAGGAAAGAGAACACCCAGAAAAAGCAGAATAGGGCCTCTTTAAACCATGCAGTATCTGAATGAGCTGCAGTGTGTCAGAACTCTGCGGTCTCCTCTAACCAAGAGGCCCGCGGCGGCCATTTAAAAAAGCTGGAAACTCCACTTCCCCGTTTCCTCTGGGTTTGGGTGGAGGCTCTGTGATGCAATGCAGGAGAAAAGCAGCTCTGTTCTCCCGGCTGGGCTTCACGGTGATTATGATTCAGCTCTGCGCTCAGAGATGACCAACAGCTGAGGATGACCTCGTCCTCCATTAATGCGCAGCCTGTTATGGAAAGGTCAGAGATTTGATTCCCAGACAGCGAGTCTCCGTCTGGAGTCATGCTTCCTGAGGAGCAGCTGAACCCTCCCTGATGTTTCATCATGAGGACGGTTGAGGAACAGTAGCTGAGGAAACTACAAAATATGGATTATTATCATATTTTATTACTACCCGTACTTAACTTATGTCTTGTGTTCAAACCCCTTCCCCCACATCATTACTAGGCCAGTTCATAATGCTCTCTGTTGTGTATTTTAATCTGATGTACTTCATTTCATCTTTGTTTGTTGTTTGAATTGTACTTTTTTATAGCGACTTTGAGTACTTTTTGAGTAGATTCTTACTATTTTATGAAGATGTTAACTTCTTATAGTCATGTAATTATCATTATTTAATTTATATTTGTATTGCACATTATTATTATTCTTTTGTATACATATTTTAATATAATTTAATCTTTTTGTTGGACAATTTATTTGATCTTCTTACGTTTATAAAAATATTTTTAATTTATTCGTATTTTTATTATGTATTTTTTCATTTTTTTATTGGACATTTTAATTGACTTTTTATTGTTAATATAATTTATTTAATTTTTATTTATTTTTTATGTAAATTCTTACTTCAAATAAATATATTTTTCTCTATTTTATTTTATTTTGCATTCACTTTAACTTCTCATCATTATTTTTATTTCACATTCTAACTTTTACTTCTTATATTTTTGACATTTATATTTTTCATTGTATTTCCATCTCAAATAGAGAATTTATCAAGCCCTTTGAAACTCGGGTTTTGAGTTAAAGTTTATTATAATTACCACTAATCAGATGAACTGATCTGACTCCTAACGAGGCCATTTGTTGAGTCTAAATAAAGCATCCCTTAATAAGCGAAGCCCCCTGCTGTGCGCTGCATCTCAGTGATCATGAAAGCCGACATGTTGTTATAGTTATTTATCTAACTGCCTGACTCTGACTCCTTCTACCTGTGCAGGAGAAGGAGAAGAAGGAGAAAGATAAGGATGGGAAGGAGAAGGAGAAGAAGGCGATAAACGGACATCTCTTCTCCCCGCTGACCCCAGGTCAGGGTCAGTGCTTCCAGTGCAGCAAAGCCTTCAACAGCAAGGAGGCCTTCCTCTGCTCACGTGAGTCTATCTATCTGTTGTCTGTTGTTGTTTATTCCAGCTCATTGTTTGTGACGCATCGGGACTTCTGTTGCTTTAAGTCTAATAAAAGCCCTTTATTGTCAATCTTTCAGTTTGTGTGTACAGACAGAGAGATCGAAATACCGTTTCCCACAATCCCGAATACAAAAACAAATATATATATATACAAATATGTATACAAATATGTATATACCTATATATATACACAATCAGAATTGTTGGGATAAAGTGCAGCGAGGCGGTCGTTATTGAAAACCAAACACCCGACATATTGGGCTTATTACACGGCCACATACTAAACACACTAACGACTCGACTCCCAATATTAATTTTATTGATTTTATTGACTTGAAAATGATCAAATGATCGTATTGCTACCACTAAGATAAAAACTACGGCAACAACAACTTAATGTAAATTAAATGGCAGCACTGATCAAGGTGTTTAACGCTAACAAGTCCTTAAACACTTTACTTTCTGTCTTTTAACCTCTTTTATTTTCTCTCTCTTGATCCTCCTTAGCAACGGTCATTATTTTGCTTAGCAGCAGTGTGTTATCGACTATTAATAACCTCAGAAATATCCAAATTGACCAATCAGAATCAAGTTTTCAACTGAGCTGTGTTTTTAAAGGATTACTCTAATGCTAATTTATTTTTAAAATTGAAGACATGTAAAGGTGGAAAACACAGAATTGGATATACTGTGAGGGAAATATGACGAGGTCTGCTAGTGGCTTCTTAAATATGCAACATGTCTGTGCAAAACTCACCTGTCTTCAATCCAACTTCATGTATTTGTATAAAGATTGGTGCAGTTAAATGTTATTTTAGTTATTATAAGCAGCAGATGAAGAAGTAATAGTAGTACAGGTTAACTAACTCTTGCTGATGTAAATACAGTTTAAAGGATGAAACACAATGATGAAACCTTCATAGTTTGATATCTGTAATGCTGTGTTTCAGTCTGTTGTAATGTCTCAAATGAAAGAGCTCTCGTCTGAGCTTCAGGATCATTTTGAAGTAGTGAAACTCTCTAAACTTGAATGCAACACAGACAACAGCAGAACAGTTTGTGCATTGTTTTCCTCTGAAGCAGCAGCAGCCGCTCTAAAGAGGATGTTCTTTATTGCTCAAGCCTTTTGCTGGAAACCTAGAACAAAGAGAAAGACCCTTAAAAGGAGAAGCAGCTCTGAGATGGATCGCAGTCTCAATCTGACTCAAAAACAGCCTCTTCTTGTTCTTGTTGACATCTGTTTGGTGACGGTGTTTTGGGGATGTGTGCAGATGTGTGGCTGGTGTCCATTCAACAGAAAACACTGATCCTTTGTGTGGGATTAGCTGGAGCGAGTTAGACGTCCACAATAAGCTGCAAAATACCCAATAAAACCATTAAAGAGCAGAAACACGCCGCAGGAATTTCAGCTGGTTTTACTGTGCACGTCATAATTAGAGCCAATTAACGTTTTTCTTGCAGTAACAGAAGTCAAATGTCTCTCTGACGGTGCGGTTTACTTCCAGATAATTGATTTCTCAGGCTGTGCGTCAGGGATGATGTAACCCTCACAGCGGACATGTGGTTTGACAGGAAACATGACGAGGTCTGTCAGTGGTTTGCAACATGTCTGTGAAACTCACCTGGAAACAAGCTTCTGTTGATCAATCGCACTTTACCTGAAGAGCTACTTTCAAATAAGGAATTGGTGCAGTTCAACTTAAAGGGGACCTATCATGCAAAATTGACGTTTTTATGTCTTTTATACATAAAGATGTGTCCCCGGTGTGTCGGGGAACTCACGCAGCGTCAGAAAATAAAACCCTCTCTCTTTTCCTCCGTATCCAAATCTCTAAAAACGGGGCTACAACGGAGCTGATCCAAATTTGCGCCCGATATGACGTCATATCGGAAATGTAGGCTGGCTTTACACCCACGGCCCTATCAGAAACGTTGCTATCAGAAACAATGCCCGACTGTTTTGGACGTAATATGGTCGGTGTTTACATTAGCATCGCTAACACTCAGAGCTAACCTGTACTGGAGAGCATGTGTGTGAAGAAGCAGGAAATAAAAAGGAACTCACCTTGTGGTATAACCGGCAAGAGAGAAAGCCTTTGAGCTCCATACTGTTTCAGAAAGAATCCTTGATAATCCATGATATGGCGTTTCATCACCGCAGTATTTAGTTTAGACAGTAGCTGCCGGGTCCCGCATGAGCTCAGACCCCTCCTTTTTAATTTAAAGCTTTATACCCCAAATCAGCACTTTAGAAACAGGAAGTGAAATAGAGGGATATGAGGCATGGCTAGAATGGGTGATCTGTTTGGTATTTTGAGCAAAACACTTCATAGACATGTTTTTTATATATTTTTATATATCTGAGACCTATGCTATTGCCTAAAAATAGCATGATACAGTAGGTGACCTTTAAGACTGGCGACAAAAAAGACGAAAATAATTCAACAAACATAAATAAATTGTAAAGATGTTATACCCTTTAAATAAAATATGCTTGTTTTAACACATTAACAATACAATAGGATAACTTTAAGACACTGAAGTAAATGATTATAAAATACAAATCAAATATGTAAATGATCCAATGTTAATACTTTAAAATTAGGTATTGATAACATAAGAATACAATATAATACAATTGATAAAAAACACTTTTAATAGGATATCACTTTACAACTTGTGTTCAGCAAAATAGAAAATCTAATTAAAATAGAAAATGTAATTCAAAAAATGTGTATAAAAACATGGAAAATATACCATAATAATAAATCATAACAATTAATATATATATACTTTACTTTAATAACATAAATAAAAATTGAGGAGTACATTCAAATACATTTTAAACACAGTAAAATAATTAAATCCTAACCCTAACGTCTATAATAAAACCTCTTTATTAATATGAACTCCTTATTTTGCAACAGCCAGTTAGTTCTCCTTCTTCAAAACTCATATTAAATCATATTAAAATATTCAGAGTACATGGGAATAAAACTTTTCCAGTGACACGGAGGAATCAGATTTCAGATCAGATCTTATATCAGCCGTCATGAACGACGACTTCTGTTCCAAATCGGTCCTTTGAGAATGTTTATATAAAATAAATGTTTCCCATGCTGGTGTGTGTGTGTGTGTGTGTGTGTGTGTGTGTGTGTGTGTGTGTGTGTGTGTGTGTGTGTGTGTGTGTGTGTGTGTGTGTGTGTGTGTGTGTGTGTGTGTGTGTGTGTGTGTGTGTGTGTGTGTGTGTGTGTGTGTGTGTGTGTGTGTGTGTGTGTGTGTGTGTGTGTGTGTGTGTGTGTGTGTGTGTGTGTGTGTGTGTGTGTGTGTGTGTGTGTGTGTGTGTGTGTGTGTGTGTGTGTGTGTGTGTGTGTGTGTGTGTGTGCCGTATTACTCCTTGGTTGCATCACACGCTCGGTCTGTCTCTCGTTAGTGGCTGCAGGAGTTTCCTGGAGAGGAACAGTCAGAGTTATAGCACCTCCTCTTACTCTTCCTCCTCCTCCTCCTCTTCTTCCTCCTCCTCCTCCTCCTCCATGCTGATATTCCTCCCTCTCTTTTCAGATTGTAACGCCTCGGTCCATAAGAGTTGCAGGGACTCACTTCCAGTTTGTGCGAAGGTGAAGATGAAGGTGAGGTTCAGTAACTCTGAGTCGGTCTGTTTCCTGCAGACACTTTATAAATGTCAAGTCCTCCTTCATGATGTTTTATTCTCTGTTTCTCTTTGTTGCCCAAACAGCAGTTCTCAGTTCCAGACTCCGTCCCCTTCCCCACGGTCACCATGAGGAACAAAAGTGAGTTACAAAACACAGATCCTACAATCTGGATCGGTTTTATTACGTGAAGTCAATCTGCTGTGTGTGTGATACAGACAGTGGACCGAAATGCTGTTTCTCTCCATCCCAAATAATACAAATACAAAATATGTACATATATACAGCATATATATATATATATATATATATATATATATATATATATATATATATACATACACACCTGTACTCCCACATATACTGTATATATGTATATGCTCATACATAGACACATATGCACACATTAAGACATGTGATGGGCTTTGGTACAAATGGTGCATATAAATATAAATCTGTTTTTACATTTAAGAAATATTTAGGACTTGGTGTAGCTTAACTGCAGAACACAATTATATAACTTTCTTACTGTAAAATAATTGATAAAAAATATTAAATAAAATAGAACAAGGATTTAATGATTAGGATTACTTTTTACAACTTAAAGGGGACCTATCATGCAAAATGCACTTTTTGATGTCTT